TCTTTTAGTCATTGTTCTGCCCCTGTTGGTTTCTCAGAGTCCTCTGTCTATTAGACAGATTGTTCCCCAATATTGCTGGTCCATTCTTGGCAGTTTTTCCTCTTCTCTTTCCTCTGACTTGATTTTTCCAGGATTCAAATATGGAAGATTTCATCCATCTATTAAAGTAAGCACTCATCCACCCATAGGGAGGTCTGATGATCTAGTGACAAGAAGCTGTGCTGTAATCCCAAAGGCACACAATTTGAATTCACCAGCTGTTCCATGGAGAAAGATGGGTAATCTCCTCCTGTACTATTAACTGCCTCTGAAAATCCACTGGAATGCCAGCTGTGGGTTGGTTCTGACTTGACAGTACATAACATCCTCCTAAAAGTACCACTAAAATTTCCTAACTGAAATTTTAAAGAAAGCTTTTCATTTCTTCACACATTTCCCACTTTGTCCCACTAACTCTAGTGTCCACTAAAACCTACTTTCTGCCACTGCCTGTTATTTTCCTGGGTCTCTAAGTAACCTCCTTGATGTTGAATTCAGTGGATTCTCCTTGGACCCTGTCTTACTTGACTTTCCTGCCTCATATTTTATACTGCTGCTTCCTTCCTTTTTCTTGAAACACTTTCTACCTTCATATGGCTGCCCTTACTTTAGCTTTTCTATGTCTCTTGAATTGCCTGCTCTTAGCTTGCTTCAATCTGTGTTAGTCCCTGCAGTGTCTGCTTGATCATAGCTTCCACCACTGCTCATCACTGGAGTGTCTGTGGGATTTTACATTTCCATCCAAGTTCCTTTATTCTCAAGGTGCCCGCCCTGGTGTCCCAGTGATGCAGTGCTCATTCTGTTTGTGCATCACATCCACTTCTGTGACTCCTGTTACTATGTAGATACTATTGAATCCTAATTCATTATCTCTGCCTTCATGAAGGCCAGAGAGTCACATCTTCGTATCTCTCTGCCTGTTAGCCATCTCAGTTTGAATGTTTAAAATTGAGCTCATCTTATTGCAAGCAGAATAGAGAGGATTTTGTATGTGGAAAATGGGCAAATCATGTGTTTTAATCCACCTCACAGCAGCTAGAAAGAGCAAGGATGTTTTGAGTGTACAGAGTGAATTTTCAGTGCGTAGTAGCCACACCCTTGCCTCCATCACCATAAGGACTAGCATTCATGAGAAAAGAATGGCGGGACTTAGACATAAGGAATCATGCCTTGTTTTGTTAGTTGCCATTAAGTAGATTCCAGCTGATGATTAGTTGGGAGTTCTGGTGGCCTAGTGGTAAGGAGTTACAATGACAACCAAAAGCATGTGGTTTGAATCTACCAGCTGATTCTCAGAACAAATATTGGCAGTCTCCTCTGTAAACCTGTTGGAGGATCCACTATGAGTGAGTTCCAACTTGTCAGTACATAACAAAATCAACACCATGTAACAACAACATGAACACCATATAACAACAGCATCACTGCCATACAACAACATCAATACCGTACAACTACAACATTAACGCCATATGACATCAGTGCTTTACCATAATATCAACACCATACAACATCAGCACCATACAATATTGTCAATGCCATACAACAGCAACATCAACGCCATATAACAACATCAACTCCATAAAACATCATTGCCATACAACAGCAACATCAGTGCCATACATTAACATCATAAATGCTATACAGCATTGTCAATGTCATACAACATCGCCATACAACAGCAACATCAATGCCATACAACAACATCTATGCCAAACAACAACATCTACGCCATACAGTGACATCAACACCATACAACATCAACACCATGCAACAACATCAACACCATACAGCAATATCAATGCCATACGAAAACAACACCACCATACAACATCATCACCTTACAACATCAATGCCATACAACAGCAGCATCATTGCCATACAACATCAATGACATATAACAACATCAACACACTACAACAACAATACTACAACATCAATGCCACATGACAACACCAACAGCAACAACACCATACAACATTAACTCCAAACAACATTAACACCATACAACATCAAGGCCATACAACATTATTGCCGTACAACATCAATGCCAGACAACAACATCAGTGCTGTACAACAACAGCATCAATGCTATACAACAGCATCAACGCCATACAACAACAGCATCAACGTTGTACAACATCAGTGCAGTACATCAACACCATACAATATCAACATCATACAAAAACATTAATGCCGTACAACATCAGTGCAATACAACAATATCAACGCTATACAACATCAACACTATATAACAAAAACATCAATGCCATACAACATCAACACCATATAACATCAACGCCATACAACATCAATACCATACAATAACATCAATGCCGTACAATATCATCATACAACATCAATGCCATACAACATCAACACCATATAACAACATCAACACCTTGTAACAACAACATCAGCACCATCTAACAACAACATCAACACCACGTAACAACGAAATGGGGTTGTGCAGTCGTCATGATCATTGGCATATTTACCTACATGGTAGCAGCTTTGTTTGTCCTTGTCTCTGAGCATTTTCTTCCTTTATACTGACCTTCCACTTGACCAACCAGGTTTTCCTTTTCTAGTGGTTGGTCTTTCCTGATGAAGTATCCAGATTAAGTGAACTGAAATTTCACTATCCTTGCTTCTCGAGGCATGTTGTTCTTGATAGGTGCCATCAAGACGTCTATAACTCATAGTGACTTTATAAACAAGGGATCTGAACCCTGCCCTATCCTGTGTAATCTTTCTCATCTCTGCTGTATTTGAGCCCATTGTTATAGTCACTGTGTCAATCCTTGTTGTTGAGGGTCTTCCCTTCTTTCACTGACCCTTCACCTTTTCAAGCATAGTTAATGGCTTCTTCCAAACACTGGCCCCTCCTAACAATATGCCCAAAGTATGTGAGGCAAGTTTCATCATCCTTGCCTCTAAGAAGCACCCTGGTTGCACTTTCGTTCTTTTTTTTTTTTTAAAAGAAAAAAACCCTTTATCATAAAAAAAGAAGATATGAAAATGGGATATAAGAAGGGGAGGGAAAAAGGGTGCAGGTGAAGAATGCAGATGTGCCTTGCATGGTGCAGTACAAACTGGATCCTGAGTTAACTGGGGGCAGTATAACAGATGGTGGTGGGTGTTGTTGTTGTTGTTGTTATGTGCCATTGAGTCGCTTGCGACTCATAGCGACCCTATGTACAACAGCCCTAAACTCTGCTCTGTCCTGTGCCAGTCACACTGCCTCTGACACACCCATCCTGATTACCCCCGTCACTGAATCAATCTACCTCATAGAGGGTCTTCCCCTCCTGCACTGTCCCTCCACCCTCCCAAGCATGATGTCCCCCTCCAAAGACCTGTCCCTCCTTACAACATGTCCAAAATATGTCAGACGAAGCCCCAGAATCCTTGCCTCCAAGGAGTAGCCTGGTTTAAACCTCTCCAGGATGAATCTGTTTGTTTTCTTGGCAGTCCATGGTACATTCAATACTCTTTTTCCAGCACCACAGCTCAAAGGCATCAATTCTCCTATCCTCCCTAGTCATTGTCCAACTCTCTGATGCATAACAAGTGATTGCAAAGACCATGGCCTGTATCAGACACACCTTAGTCTCCAGAGACACACCTTTGCTCTTGAGTACTTTAGAGAGGTCCCTAACAGCAGACTTTCCCATCACAATACGTTTTTTTAATTTCCTGTCTCCTGGTGCCAAGAGTGTTGATTGTGGAGCCAAGCAGACTAAAGCTGTGAACAATCTCAATCTCTTCGCCATCCATCCTGATGCTGCCAATTTGCCCAGTGGTGAGAATCTTTGTCTTCTTGACATTGAGCCTCAGTCCATACTGAAGGCTGCAGTCCTTGACCCTTTGCAACAAGCGTTTCAGGTCCTCTGCAGTTTCAGCAAGCAGGGTTGTGTCATCTGCAACTCACATTGTTGATAGATCTTCCACCAATCCTGATGCCACACTTCTCATAGAGCCAAGCCTCATGGATAATCTGTTCTGTATACAGGTTGAAAAGGTATGGCAATAAGACACATCCCTGGAATACACCCTTCCCAATTTTGAGCCATGCAGTGTTACCCTGCTCTGTTCTGATGACTGCCTCTTGGTCCAAGTATAGGTTTCGCATTAGCACGATTAAATGTTCTGGGATTCCCATTCTTCTCAGAGTCAGCCACAGTTTGTTATGATCCACGCAGTCAAATGTCTTTGCATAATCAATGAAACACAAATATACATTCTTCTGATATTCCCTGCTTTCAGCTAAGATCCATCTAACATCAGCTAGAATATCCCTAGTAGTATGACCGCTTCTAAACTCAGCCTGGACTTCTGGAAGTTCTCTGCTGATGTGCTGTTCCAGTCAATTTTGGACAATCTTCAGTAGAATCTTGCTTCAAAAGACTTAAACCAGCAGAAAAAGGACTTGGAAACTCCCTCTTTTGAACCAGCAGCTTAATCAATTCATTGCTCAGTTGGGATAAGGAACCAAACTGCAGCAGGCCCAAGGGACCAAGTCCCAGAGGCCACGTAACCAAAAAGGACTTAAGGCCAGGCAGGCTGCTGACTTGTTCTCATGACAAAACAGTGAGGCAGGTCTCAGCACTTTATGAATGTGCATACTGATGTCAGAAGGAAGGGAACATTGAGTTCATTACCTCTGGCTAGCCTGCTGGTGGTCTGGCCTTCCAGTGTAGGGATGGCTGGTACTATGAACGTTTTCCCATCTCTCTCAAGTATTCCATATAAAAAGTTAAGCTGGAGTGTCCCAGCCACCCTCACCCTCCAAAACACACCAGTGCAGGTCAACTTCTTTAGTGGAGACCAGAGTAAATGAAGAGGTTCTGGTAGCTTGAGACACACTTGTACCCAGTGGAGGTTCAAGCACCTGAGTCTCAAATGCTAGGAAAAGAGGGCTGGCGTGGGGCAAGTAAACAGGATGGGCAGTAAAGATGTCAGTCTGAGTCTGGCCCCTCTCTCTTGAAAGTAGTTGTTTTATAGCAGGAAGTAGTCTGTCCTTTCCTAGTCTTTGAGGGGCTGGAGTGAACCCGGGTCTCATCTGGATCCACAGCAACCTTCTGCTCCTGGAACATTCTGAAGTGTTTATACCCACAAATCTGAAGGGTGAAATATTCTTTACTCAGCTTCTTTTTTGGCTGAGTAGAGACAGTGATGTGGAGCAGAGCTGTCTTGGTATTCCCAGGAGGTGATTCGGGACAAAGCTTCTCCTTCTTGTGGAAATTTTCTTCCTCAGTGTGTCTGTCCCTCCTAAGACAGGCACAAACACGTACCTCAAAGCTATTAGATGCCAACAAATTGCCACTGGAGTCTTCCAGAGGGATGGTGAGGATGAGCCTTTGGTTCATGCCATCCATGCAAGAGCTGTTACATGTGAAGTTGTAGTGGATGGTGGTACAGTCAGAGCCAACCTCAGGTGGCTCATAAGACACCATCACGCTATGTCGCAGAGTGGTGCTGTTGTCCAGATACTCAACACGCAGGTTTCCTTCCACCCGGATGAAGTGCTGAGGAAGGGCTGGGCCATCACTGTTGTCGGAGTTGCATTCGTGGTGAGGGTGAGGCCTCAAAGTCTCTGTCATATGCCCCAGTTTCTTGCAGCTGGCCATGGTATGGATGCAGGTGCCAGGTGGAAGTGGCAAGGTGACCCACCGCTGCACTGGGCAGGTCTTGGCCAGCTGGCAGAATAGCTTGTTAAGGTCAGGGGAGTACATGCAGGTGACAGACTTGGCTGTCCCAGACTGTAGGAAGTCTAGATGGAAGCCATAGGTGCCCAGGTAGGTCTACTGCGAGGGGCCAGAAGATAAGAGGGACCAGAACGTGGCCTGCACTGGTTCCCGTGTCAAGGCTGATGTTGAGGCTGCTGATGTTCATTGAGCTTCAACTTGCTTTTCTAATCAATTTTCAAGGACTTATGGGAGGACTAGATTGTCCATTTCTGAGGGTGACAAGGGGGACAGAATTGGCTTCTCAGGAAGGACTTCCCATAAGTAGGAAAAGGACTCTTGGCTCAGAGGGAGCTCCATGCTGAGATCTAGCTGGGACTCCTCCATTACAGCTCTCCAGAAGGCAACCAGAACCTCTGAGGAGCACCCTCTGATTCAGGACACCAGTGCTGCGGTAGCCAGCCGCTAGTTGCTACCAGGATGATGCCTATGGAATTTTTTTTTTTGCACACTTTTTCCAAGACATACCTGTTTATTCTTTTGGCAGTCAGTGGTACATTCAGTACTCTTCTAACAGCACATCTCAAAGCAATCTGTTGTTCTTTCCTCGTTATAAATTGTCCAATTTTCAGATGCACAGCAACTAGTTGATAAGACCATGACTTGAATGAGGTCAGACTTTAAATTGACATTTTTGCTCTTTGGCAGTTTGGAGAAGTCCATGACAGCAGTTTTCCCAATGTAACACATCTTTTTTGATTGAAAATCCTCCTCCAACTCTTTTCTTCATTGATATTTTGTTTCATACATTCATTCCCATACATTGTGTTTTATAAAGTTAATCACATTGGACTATGCCCACCATTAGCCAATCTTTTTAGGTCACCACTGGATCTTTCCCATTTTCTTCACCCTTTCCCTCCACCCACTAAATTGTGCACCCCTGTGACTTTCCCCCTGCCCATCTTTTGATTTCTTGTGTGCTAGTACGAAGGGTGTTGATTGTAGATCCAAGTAAAATTAAATCATTGACAATGAACAACCTTGGGACTAGCAGTCAGGAAATAAGGAGATGCATTGTACTAGGACCTTTCCAAATTACTGAGGAGTAATAATGTCAGTTTGAGGACTAAGATGTGTATAATTCAAGTCATAGTCTTTCCACTCACTTGCTATGTATCTGAGAGCTGGACAGTGAATAAGGATGACAGAAAAAGAATTGACACATTTGAACTGTGGTGTTGGAGAAGAACACTGAACATCTCCTGGATGGCCAAGAGAACAAAAAGATATGTCTTGAAAAAGGTGCAGACAGAGGGCTCTTTGGAGGCAAGAATTAAGAGACTTCATCTCACATGCTTTGGGAATGTTGCTAAGAGAGTCTATTCCTTTGAGAAGGACATGATGCTCAGAAGGGTGCAGGGTCAGCAAAGGAGAGGAAGACTCTCAACCAGGTGGACTGATATAGTGACTGCTGCAGTGGGCTCTTATGTGTCAGGAAGCTGAAAGATGGCACAGGATAGAACAGGGTTCAGACCTTTTGTTCCTAGGATCACTGTGAGTTGTACTTGACTTGACAGCACCTAACAACAGCAACAACGCTGGTCTACTGGTTAAGATTTTTGTTTTGTTTTCTTGGTATAAAATTTTTATTTTATCTGCTTTACTTAAAAAGTTTATATACATTGTTTTTCACACCAGATCTTTCCCATTTCCCTAACCCACCCCTCCTCCACCCACTAAGTTGTGCAACCCTGTGATTACTCCCCTGCCTATCCTCACCATTCTGCTCCCATCCTCGCCCCCCTTAGATCTTCATACACATTTTACTAGTTATCTGTTTCTATCATAATAGTCTTATACAGTATTTGTCCTTGTGGGACTTATCTAGTTCATTTAGCATAATGCTCCACAATCCCTCCCAAGTTAGGTAGTGATTTATAAAATCATTGCTCCTGCATGCTGCATAGTGTTCCATCATGTTAATGTACTATAATTTCTCAGTCCACTTGATTGTGGTTGGACATTTGGGCTTTTCCCATGTTCTTGTGAATAATGCTGTTATGAACATTGCTGAATGTAATCCATATTGAAGGCTGTAGACCTTGATCTTCTGCACTGAGTGCTTCAGGTCTTCTTCACTTTTAAGAAATGAGGTTATATTATCTACATACTCCAGGTTGTTGAGACTTTCTTCGATCCGCTTTCCATACTCTGGAATTTTTGGAGGCTTCTGGAAGACCATAGTATATTAAGTATATCTCACTATCTCCACAATTCAGTTGTATCAGTTTTTAATATTGTCCAACATTTTCATGCATATAAGGTTGAAAACATTACGATTTGAGTCAAGCATACTTTACTTACTAAAATAATACCATTGCTTTTTTAAACTTTGAAGCAGTATTTTGTAGTACATCTACTCAAGGCAATACGCCATTTGATTTCTTGGCTGCTGCTTTCATGGGTATTGATTGTTGATGCAAATAGAAGGGAATTGTTGGCAGTTTCCTTTTTCCCCACACCGTTTGTCATGCTGTTGTTTATGAGTCCACTCATAAGGATTCCTGTTACTATCACATTCTGTCATCTGTCCTTCCTTTTGAATATTCCAGCGCTGTTATCTTCCTCAGCCATGCATTGTGACACACTGGGGCAGAATCCGTGTCTGCTGTCCCACCGTGGGAACTCCATGGTGTTTGGGACTTACTACTCAAATTATCTCCTGTGCTTGGCATAGTTCCTGAAACTAAGTTGGTTGTCAGTGAAAATGTCACAGTGGAGATGAGCTGTTACGAGCCCTCAGAAAAACATTTGATGTTTGACATCATCAGAGATGTATTATCTGCTGATGGTCACATTGAGCTTTTGTTCACAGAACATAAAAATTGATACTAAACACAATTTCAGTAGAAAAATATTCTGGTTTTATCTACTAATTCTTTTTTGAATTTGTATATATTTTTAAAAGACTAAACTTATACTGAAATTGGAAAATATCCACTAGGAACATTTCCCAAGATTCGATCTTTCAAGTTTTCCAGGATTTTTAAAAATAACATAATAGTCATATGTTAACTTTAATAAAGCCCCTGTAGGCATGAGCTTGGTGAAATAATGGCTTAATCATTGTGCTGCTAACCGTGAGGACAGTTCTAACCTACCAGCTGTTCTGCAGGAGAAAGGTGTCTGCTCCACAAAGGTTGCAGCCTCAGATGCTTAGGGAGCAGTTCTGCTGTCCTGTCAGGTCTCTGTGAGTTAAAATCATATCACTAGCCATGGGTGCATCTAGTCTGGGAACCTGTTGGTGTTGCAAGTGGTAAATGTGCAATGCTGCTAACCAAAGGTCTAACCAAAGGTTGGATGTTCAAAATGACTTCCAGACAAGATGCCCTTAAAATTCTGTAGAACATAGTTCTCTTCTGACTAGCATGTAATCACATTGAGTTGAAATCAGCTTAATACTTTGTTTGTAAAATGTCGTCTTTATAGAATGGTACATAGAATAGACTCTGCAACTGTCTAATGGCTTTTGGAGATACTTGTGCGACAGATTTCTCAAAGAAGACAATGCCTATAATAAACTACTAATTCTTTTCATTGACGGTAGCATAAGTATAACCATATGTTACAATTTGCAATAAAGGAATTAATGTAATTATTGTATGTTAAAATTTGAAAACTGTTTATAAAATAAGTTAATATATTATTTGGAGATATAGTGGGTTAAAATCTTAGCTCTATCACATGTCTTCATTATTAGCTTAAACTAGTAAACAACTCTCAAGTTTTGAGTTTCCTCTTCTGTGAAAAAGAAAGAATTTGCTAGAGAAATAGTAAGATAATGCCTGAAAGTCATATAACACAGAAGGTACCACAAAATAGATACTCGTTTATGCCACCAGACATTCCACTGTCAGTATTAACCCAAATTAAGTCAAAGAAGATATGTTTGAAGTATGTATTAGCTCCTTATCTGATGGGATATATGATTAGTCATTATATGTATGGCAACAATCTGGAAAAAGGGATACTCTGAGGGGAGGGCTGGGGGAGAGGATAAGGAATGGGGAAGAAAATGTGCAATAATGGAAAAAAATTAAAATATTTTAGATGTTAAAAAATAAATATGTGTTAACTCACTGGGAAAATAAGTCTATTGCCAATCTACATTTGTGTGTCAGTTATCCAAAGAGACATGAACTGTTCCATAGTTCGGCTTTGCGACTTTATCTACATCTGTCATAATACAAACATGCACCGATGTAAGGATTTTAGTTCATGCTATTTGATAGGAATTCTTAAATCTCATAATAATCAAGCCAATCCTTGAAAAGAAATCTTATCAGTATTTTAGTGAGTTATTTTAAAATTCTCTATGACTTACAGTGGCAATTTTGTTTATTGTCTGTGTAGACTACAGTGACTCCCATACAATCTAACTACTAATTACAGAGGATCTTGCTGAACTTGCACGCAGAATACCCCTAAAGTTGTAAACTGCAAGTTTGATTACTGCTCACGGATAGTTGATACTCAGTTATTGTGTACAGTTACTATCTGATATATGCAGGCATAACAGAGCTAACTTTTTGGAGTGTTTGCTTTAAAATTCATTGGGAAATGTGGTGTTTATAACATGGCATTTTAATTTGTGAGTGACTGTTTTTAAGTATCTTATTGCATTTCTCTTGATGTTTCCCTATTAATTTTTTTCTTAATTGATCCCTGTGCTCTCTCTCTCTCTCTCTCTACCTACCTTCCTGGCAGTCTTTTTCCTATAAAAGGACCCATCTGTCTAAGGTAGAGATTCTCCAATTTACTTAACAAATACTTAACAGTGACTAAGCTAGCAGGAGTAGGCATGCTTATCATTAAGAAATCTCTTCTAACCCTGTCTTTTCAGTGAAGTGATGTTTTGTTTTCCTTTAATTAAAAAAAGGTCTCTGTTTGCTTTAAATTAATGTACTCAAAATATGCCTAATATCTAATAAAGAACAAAGAATGTATCTTAAAACTTGCTAATCTATAATAATTAAAATAATACTTTAAAAACTAGTATTCTTAGTAATATATTTGATTGTATATGCAGAAAGTCAGAAAGAAAATAGAAAACTCTACATGATACATTTTCATTTTCTTTTCTTAGACTTGAATTTGAGAGGCAACAGCGTGAAGAACTTGAAAAGTTAGAAAGTAAAAGGTAAGTCAGTGTATGACGTGCTGTTTAGTGTGTGGAGCCCTGTGTCCCCCATCAGTGTGTGTGTTAATTATGTATCTTGCCATTGTTAGTTATGCATCTAATGGCTTGAGGTCATTTCTTGATTCTGCAAGTTGGTTTTACTTCATGTTTGAATTTGGTTCAAAATTAGGAAAAGGAGTGTATAAGAGATGCATCCAGGCTCTGTGCCTTTTCAGTTTATATGCGGAACAGGTCATTCAGGAGCCTGCCCTTCATGAGGAGGAGTGTGGCATCAAGATTGGAGGAAGACTCATCAACAGACTATGTTGTGCAGATGACACAACCCTGCTTACTGAAACTGACAAGGAGCTGAAACACTGCTACAGATGATCAAGAACTGCAGCCTTCCATATCGATTGAAGCTCAACAACCAGAAGACAAACATTCTCACCAGTGGGCTAATTAGCAGCATCATGATTGATGTTTACATTTTCCGCTTGGCTCCATAGTCTACACTCTTAGCACCTGCGGTCAAGAAATCAAAAGACAAATGGCTCTGGGGAGAGCTGCTGCCGGGGACCTGTCAAAAGTGCTAAAGAGCAAGAATGTCAATCTGGAGACTAAGTTACACCTGATTCAGGCCGTGGTCTTCACAGTTACTTGCTATGCATCAGAGGGGTGGACAAGAACAAAAGATGACAGGAGAAGAATTGATATCTTTGAGTTGTGGTGCTGGAGAAGAGTATTGAACTGCAAAGAGAACAAGAACAAATACTTTCTCCTGGAAAGGATGAAACCAAGCTAATCCTTAGAGGCAAATATTTTTGAAGCTTCATCTCCTAGGCATGTGGCCAGGAAGGATGAGTCTCTGGAGAAGGATATCATACTTGGAAGGGTGGAGGGCAGTGCAGGAGAGGAAGACTTCAGATGACATAGATTGACACAGTAATTGGAGTAATAGGGGTAGGTGTGTTGGAGATAGTGAGCCTGGCTCAGGATAGAGCTGAGTTCAGAGCTATTGTGCATCTGGTCACTATGAATCGTAGGTAACTTGATGGAGCATAACAACACCAAACAACATGCAGTTTGAATTAACGTTAGAACAAAGGAAGACTAAAACAAAGGAAAGAAACTCATTGCCATATAATCAGGAATTGAATCATGGCTGTCTGTCCATTGGTTTTCTGAGGCTGTAAATCAGAAGATTGCCTGTCTTTTGCCTGTGGAGTGTCTGGTGATTTCAGACTGCCAGACAGATATGGCCTTTGAGTAGCAGCTAAACTCCCAAGAGACAAGGCAAGTAGAGCTCCTTTAGTGCCTACTTAGGGAAGAATTTATTCCCACCCAAGAGGTGGTGACTGGAAAGGTTGTTGGATAACACAAAGGACATCTGTGAAGGATATAGCAAAGAGAGGAAAGAAAGAAAAGACCAACATGCATGTCAGAAGAGACTCTGAAACTTGCATTGCAATGAAAAGAAGCCAAAATTAGGGGGGAAACTGCTAAGGGAAGGGAGCTGAACAGAATATTTCAAAGAAGAGAAAGAGTATTTAATGAAACGTGCAAGGAGCTGGGGCTAGAAAACTGAAAGGGAAGAGCACTCAGTAATTCTCTAGCTGAAAACATTTAAGAACAAATTCCAACTTCAAGTTGCAGTACTGAAGAATTCTACAGGCAAAATACTGAATGATACAGGAAGCCTTATAAGAAGATGGAAGGAATACATAGTCACTGTACCAAAAAACTGGTCACCCTGAACCATTTCATGGAGTAACTTATGGTCTAGAATCAGTGGTAATAGTGAAAGACATCCAAGCTCTACTGAAAGAAGTGGCAAAAAAATAAGGCCTCGAGAAATTATAGAATACCATTTGACAAGTTTCAGTTAACAGATGCAGCCCTGAAGATGCTCACTAGCCTCTGCCAAGAAATTTGAAAGATAGCTACCTGGCCAAGTGACTGGAAAAGACCCATGTTTGTTCCTATTCCCAAAAGAAATTATTCAAAAAAATGTGATAATTATTGCATAGTATCATTAATATCATGTGCAAATAAAATCTTGCTTAAGAAATACTATATATGACATTGAGAAGAATGGGAATCCCAGAACACTTAATTGAGCTCATGTGACTAAGAAGCAGTTGTCCAGACAGAACAAAGGAACAATGAATGGTTCAAAATAAAAAAAAAAAGTATGCAAGGTTGTGCCCTTTCTACATACCTATTCAGTCTGTATGCTGAGCAAATCAACTGGAAGCTGAACTAATGGGCATCAGAATTGGAGGAAGATTCCATAGTAACTTGCATTACACAGATGGCACAGCCTTGCTTGTTCAAAGTAAGAGGACTTGAGATACTTGATGTAGAAGATCAAAGGCAACAGCCTTCAATATGAGTTACATCACAACCTCAATAAAACAATTATCACCATTCAACCAATAGGCAACATTGTAATAGATGGAGAGAATAATGAAGTGGTCAACAATTTCCTTTTACTTGGGTTCATTTCCGTGGTACCAGCAGTCACATTAAAAGACATGTTGCACTGGGGAAATCTGCTGTCATGGAGACCAAATGTCAGTTTAAAGACTAAAAGACCCTGGATGAGATGGACTGATACAGTATCTAGGGCAATAAGGGTAGGTGTGTTGGAGTCAATCAGACTGGCTCAGGACAGTGCAGGCTTCAGAGCTGTTGTACATAGGTTTGTTATGTGTTGCAGAGGACTCAACAGCACATAACAACAACAACAACTATAGATAGATAAAAGATAGATGATGGATGGCTAGATGGATGGATGAATGGATGGATAGGAAGGAGGGAGGGAGGGAGGGAGGGAGGAAGGAAGGAAGGAAGGAAGGAAGGAAGGAAGGAAGGAAGGAAGGAAGGAAAGAGAGAGAGAGATCTGTCTCAGTACTGGATGTGTGTATGTGTGTGTTTGCTTAATTGATTAGCAGAGCTTTGTATTTGTTCCGAATATAATCTTTGGTTGTTCCATACTGTTTTTACCTTGTTTTGTTTTCTCCTATCATTTTTCACAATGAAGAAATACACTAAGGATAGATATTGGATTAGGATCTTAACCTGTAGGTCACTGAAACCTATAGGTCACCTGCATACTGGATCTTTACCTTCTAGAATCTGGGGATTAGGCATTCATGGATGAGTTAGTTTAGCTTCTGTCATTATATAGAATAGGTTGCTGGTGGACTCTGAGATGAGGCCACTTGCTGATACTCTTTCATGCCCTGTAATTTTGCTCTATGAACTGTCTCAGCCCTGACATGTTGACTCAGGTTCAGGTACTTTTTCTACTTCATATAAAATTTAGCATCTAATCCCCAGAATAACATGTAGTTATTTGAACCGAAACCAGGGCCTGTTGATTTTCTTCACTTTGATATCTGACATGAGTGAGTTGAGAAAAAAAAAAAAAAGCATTTTTTCTTTTCCACAAATTTAATTTTTTTTATTAAAATAGACACTACAAAACATGCAATTTAGTGGCATTGATTATATCCTTTGAGTTTTGCAAGTTTTCTTCCTTTTTTCCTGAGGTGTTCTTTCTTCATTGACATAAATTCATTGCCCTCAGTATTCCCTAATCTTTTGGTTATTGTTGGAAATTTGGTCCCATATTCATAGTTCATCAAAGAGCATGGTGTTCAAGGCAGAATTTTTTCCTTTTTACTATACTAGTTAAGCCAAAGTATTGTTGTTTTAGGATTACTCAAGGGGATACTTTTGGTTTGAGATTTATAGGCAGTATTTTCAAAGGAGGGAGGCCATTTTTACTTAATGTTGTCTTCTAGTATGACTTTGGGCTTTTGGCCACTAGGTGAATACATTTATTCACATTTAAAAAGTAACTGTGTATGATTCTTTCTTTTTGAGCTCAAGGAACTTTAAAAATGATACCATATATGAACACATTGATGTTAGACCCTAACAAACAGGTATCAGGAGAAATGGTATGTTTGACAGTTAAAGAGCTGTGGGTTTTTCGGTTTGTTTGTGGGGTGTTTTTTGTTTTTTTTTATTTCATTTTCAATTCCAGAACATATCTGTTAAGAAAAAGGTAGAGTCACATTGGAACCATAACAACTGACTAAGGATCATTGCTTTTTATTTCAGAAAACTCATAGAAGAAATGGAAGAAAAGCAGAAATCTGACAAGGCTGAACTGGAGCGTATGCAGCAGGAGGTGGAGACGCAGCGCAAGGAGACGGAAATTGTGCAGCTGCAGATCCGCAAGCAGGAGGAGAGCCTCAAGCGCCGCAGCTTCCACATTGAGAGCAAGCTGAAAGATCTGCTTGCCGAGAAAGAAAAGTTGGAAGAGGAGAGGCTGAGGGAGCAGCAGGAGATGGAGTCGTTGAAGAAGAAACAGGAAGAAAAGAGTGTTTTCTGTGTCAAAGAACTCCAGCGGCTCCAGGAACTCAATGACAGTGAGAAGGCTGAGAAGGTTCAGATATTTCGAAAACTGGACTCACTCAAAAGAGAGAAAGATGAACAGCACGCCAAGCTCGAACTTGAAAAGAAGAGACTGGAGGCGCAAGAACAGGAACAGTTCCTGCTTGTAAGCCACCTTGAAGAGCAGATCCGAGAGAAGCAGCGAGGTGAGGTTCAGCGGGTGGAGGAGGAGAAGAGAGACTTAGAGGACATCCGAGAGTCCCTCCTGCGGACCAAGGAAGCACGGGCGGAAGGGGATGGTGATGGAGAGGAATGTGAAAAGGCCACAGTGCGCTTCTTAGAGTTCAAGAGAAGCCAGCTAGTCAAGTTAGCAAACTTGGAGAAGGACCTGGTTCATCAGAAAGATCTCCTGAAGAGAGAAGTTAAAAAAGAACAGGAAATCCTAAAGCATTTGAAAAGTGAAAATAAAGAGGAATATAAGGTGTTGAAAAAAAATGGTGATAGTTGCATAAATCTCACACAGGCAGCTCAAGACACAGAGAAAATAAAGCTAGTGGAGTCCAGACTGCAGGATAAAGAACGCCAACTACAGTACCTGCTAAAGAGTCACTTGCCAGCTTTGTTAGAAGAAAAGCAGAGAGCCCTTGAAATCCTTGAAAGAGGCCCTCTCAGCTTAGACAATACTCTCTATCAAGTAGAGAAAGAGATGGGAGAAAAAGAAGAACAATTTATGCAGTATCAAGCCAATGCAAGCCAGCTGCAAAAGCTGCAAGCCACGTTTGAGATCACTGCCAACCTAGCACATCAGGAAGAGAAAGTGAGGAAGAAAGAGAAGGAGATTCTTGAATCCCAGGAGAAGCAGCAGAGAGAGGCCTTGGAGCAGGCTGTGGCCAAGCTAGAGAGAAGACACTCTGCCTTGCAGAAGCGTGCCACCCTGGGCCTGGAGATGGAAGAGCAGAAGCAGAAATTCTCAACTCTGAGGAGTGACAGCAGCAGCGCTCAGTCAGGGCTCCAGGCCGGCCTGGAAGCTGAGCAGGAAATGCTCAAGAAGGACCAGGAGAGGTGAGAAGCAGGAGGGACATCATCAACCCTGTAGTAGGTGCCAAAAGATTGCTTGTTTCCTACTCCTATGGCTTGTCTCTCCTTATCTTTTAGAAAGAGAATTCTTTTTAGCCTTTATAATCCTTACTACATGGACACATGCTTATCTTTACCGAATCTGAGGCCTTAAGCATCCTCTGGGGGTGTAGTTGGTGAGGATCTACACCGCTAACCCCAATGTGGTACCTTTCTGGCGCTTCAAATCCTCCAGCTCTTCAGCCCGAGGAAGATGGACAATCTCCTCCTGTGCCATTTCTCGCCTCAGAAAGCCTGCTGGAGGGTCATCTGTGGGTTGGTCTGACTCATATTGCAGTGAGAAAGACAATACAATGAATTATTACTTTGTATCCTATTTTCTAATCTTTTAGTCTAAAGTTAGAATGAAAAATGTCATCCCAGCTCAAGTCCTGTCTGTTACCCCACTTGCTGTATGAGATGTGATGTGTGTGTTGTAAGGTTTTCTTAGATACAAATGATTGGGAAATAATCCTCTTCTTTTTACCTTCTCTTTCCTTCCTTTTTATTTAAACTACAACTTCTAATATTATTTTATTTTATATTGGTTGGCTCAAAAAGTTCATATACATTGTGTTTTACACTATTCTTCATTCATATTGTATTTCATATAATCATTCCCATGCATTATATTTTATACAATGAATCACGATTGACCTTGCCCATCATTACCCAGTCTTTTCAGGTCCCTGCTGGCTCCTTCTCATTTCTTTCACCCTCTCTCTCCGTCCATCAAACTGTGCGGCCCTGTGGTTTTGCCCCTATCCATCTTCCTTCCGTTTTGAAAATGTTTATTTTATGTTGGTTTGTATACATCTCTCCTCTAGTGCCACGGCCTTTTCTAAACTGAGCTTGTATTTCCAATAGTTCTGTGTCAATGTACTGTTCAAATCGTTTCTGGGTAATCTTCAGTAGGATTTTGCTTCTGTGTGATATGAGTGATAATTTCCACACTGTCAGGTCACCTTTTTTTTAACGGGAATAATTTCAGATCTCTTCCAGTCACTTGGCCAGGTAGTTGTCCTCCAGATTTCTTGGTACACTAGAGACATTGTCATCATAGTCAGATGGATCTTGGCAAAAAGCAGAGAATACCAGAGGGATATTTATCTGTGTTTTATTGACTATGCAACGGCATTTGACTGTGTTGATCACAACAAATTATGGTTAACCTTGAGAAGAATGGGAATCACAGAACACTTGATTGTACTTAAGTGAAACCTGTATTTTGGACCAGTACTCAGAACAGAGCAGAGTAACACTGCATGGTTCAAAATCAGGAAAGGGGTGCATCAGAGATGATGCATCTGTCTATCTATATTCGGAACAGATCACTTGAAACACTGGGTTTTATGAGGAGGATTGTGGCATCAGGTTTGGAGGAAGACTCATCAACAACCTACTTTATGCAGATGGCACAATCTTGCTTGCTGAAGCTGAGGAGTGCTCGCTGCAGAAGGTCAAGTACTGTAGTTTTCAATATGGATTGAAGCTCAACATCAAGAAAACAAAGATTCTCACTACTGGATCATGATGGATGGTGAAGAGACTGAAGTTGCTAACAGTTACAGCTGCTCAACTCCACAGTCAACACTCTTGGCACCAGTGGTCAAGAAATCAAAACATGAATTTCATTAGGTAAATCTGCTGTCAGGGACCTTTCCAGAAGACTGAGAAGCACCTTTGCCAGTCTAAAGGTGTGCCTGATCCATGACATGGTCTTCACAATTATTTGCTATGCATCAGAGAGCTAGATAATGATTAAGGATGACAGAAAAATTGATGCCTTTGAGTTGTGGTGCTGAAGAAGGGTCTTGAACATACCCTGGACTGCCAAGAAAACAAATAGGTCTGTCTTGGAGAGGGTGAAACCAAATTTCTGCTTGAACGCTAGGATTTTTAAATTTTGTCTCATATACTTTGGGGATGTGGCCAGGAGAGACCGGTCCTTGGAGAACATTATGCTTGGAAGGATGGAGGGATAGTGCAGGCGAGGAAGACTCTGGATGACAATGACTAGGGCAATGAGGGTAGGTGTGTTGGAATCAGTGAGACTGACTCCAGACAGGGCAGGCTTCAGAGCTTCTGGTACATAAGGTCTCTGTGAGTCTACTTGCAGTCTACTCAATGGCATATAAAAACAACAACAACATCTCTCCTGCCTTCTGATTCCCACTGTTTGTTTCTTTTTACAATTCTCTTTCCTCTTTTTTTTTCTTTTGTTTCTTCTCTCCTTTGTTCATTTCTTTTTTACTTCCTTTTCCCTCCCTCCCTTTCACCATCCTTCCATCTTATTCTCCTTCCTTCCTCTTTGACCCATCATCTCTCTTTTTGTCCTCTTTCATCTATTTCCCTCCCTTCTTCCTTTCTTCTCTGACCAGTAGCTTTGCAGCTTCGCTTTGACTACCACTTATTAAAATAAAGATTTATCCCTGAGTTCACAGGTTGCACAGAGGATACTAATTCCAGTACCTGGTAGGGAACTAAAATGAGTTCTCCCATATTTACTGACTCACTCTATTTGAAAGGAGGCGTCTGGATTATTTGGAGGAAGAAAGCAAACAAAACTTTTCAGATGCTTTTCAACTCATGGTGTATTCAAATGTGCTTTCTGATGATTATATGACAGACTGACTAGAACTATTTTCATGGTAAGGAAAGGCTATTTATTTTGTCACCTATTCCCTTACCAGGGAGTCAGCTCTCAAAGTGATTAAATGTGTGAGTTTGAGTGTGCTTTTTCTGCTGGCTCTGTAGATCAAAGCCAGGATTTCCAGCAAGGCTGTCTTTGTTGGGGTGCAAATAGCACCAAGTTAAGAGTCCAGCACCAGGTATTCGTGTGTGGACCCTGTGCCTCCTAACCTTGTTGAGCAGAGGAAGTCTGTTCTCACTGGACAAGAAGTGGATGGACAACATCAGGTGCTGAGCCTCTTGTAGCCCCATTCTCTTCTGTCAGTGGAGCTCCTCAGTGAAGCTGTTTAGAAGGCCTGGAGCGTACCCTCTTCCCAGAACTCCCCACCCAAAGCACCTCCTGAGGGGCTGCAGACAAAGCTCCAGCATTTAGACAGTGACATCAATTGTTGGTGACAAGGTAATTCCTACTAGGAAGCACCAAAATCACATTTACCATCTTACCTGAAAAAGTCAGGAAAACCTCCTTTTCAAATGATCTGCCTATAGACTGCAGATATATTTACTGTCACTCCTTTTGACAAAACAGAGCAACAAAATGATGATAAAGGACTCCAGTGCTATTACTTCAGAGAAATAGGTCAGAGGTTTAAGAAAATGATTGCAGGTATTTTATGTAAATGAAATTGCTGGACAGAGCTTCAGCCCTTGAGAATTTAAAGCAATGGAGTGCATGCTCTCAATTTGTGCACTGCAGTGTGCAGAAGATTGCTGCACGAGCTTTTAGCTTCATGGCCCTGGCTTTTGTCAGGAGCTGCACTCTCTGGGCGCTTAGCATTTATATTCTGTAATAGTGGAAGCAGTGATTTCCCACTGTCAGCATTCTTCCAGACCCCCACAGCACAGGATCTTAGCTGTGCATATTTGTGGACTACGCTTTGCTGAGACTTGGTTCAGATAGATGAACTCGCATCTTTGCTGTCACTTTTGTTGCTTCTGCAGCTTTCTATGGGGGCGTCAGCTGTGCTGTATTTTCTCCCTGGGTTCTCATTACTCAGCAGGGGCCCATTTGACTGTGTCAGTTTGGAAAATGCCACAAGTGTGAAACACTACATTTAATTGGTGTAGAATCAGACTGGGCAGTGCTGCCCTAACCTTGGCTTTCCCATCATTTTCTCAGTGCTTCATGAAGAAGCTTGAATTCAGTAGTGTGTTGTGCTTTTTTTTCCCGTTCTAACCATCTGTTTATTGCAGCTGTCCCAATGACATGCCTTAGGCAGCATCCCTGCCATTTGAAAAGCCCTTCTGTCACTTTATCTGAGATTTCCTTTTCCTGTGTGAGGTCAGAACGGAGCTAATTGGTCACAAATCTTTAATATAGTAGCAGTTGTAGTGTGTAGTGAGCTGCACTGCTAACCCAAAGACAGACCCTCTCTGGTGGTTCGAACTCACTGGCAGCGCTGCAGGAGAGGGATGAGCAGTCATCTTTCATGGGACTTGTTGTTGTTGTTGTTGTTGTGTACTGTCAAGTTGGAATCCACCCATAGCTAACTGTCTGGTGGCTTTTCAGAGGGAGTTAATCTCATGGAAGGAGATTGCCCATCCTTCTCCCAGGGACCAACTGGTGGCCTTGAACCATGTGCCTTCAGGATTGCAGCGCAGCTTCTTGTCTTTAGGCCAATAGATTTACAGCCTCTGAAAAATCCCTGGAGGGTCAGCTGTGAGTCATTTCTGAATGGGTGGCAGTGAATGAGTGAATAATAATACTATTCCTCTGTACTCTGTGTAATGTAATCGACACACAATATTACATACTTTTCGAATGAACTTGTCACTCTGCTCAGTTTCTAGGTGGGTGTATTGAAACCTTCCAGGTTAAATAGTCATTGAGCATCATGCCATACAGAAAGTGGACAGTCACAACCAGAGTAGAGGGCTTCTTACCATCTGACTCTTACCTGCTTTGCTCTCTTGTCTGCTGACCACACAGCTACCCATGTGTAGCCCTCCCTAGACCAGGGACAAAGCCTGTTTTATCACTTCCACCCATGTAAATCCTGCTCAGCCTTCAGGAATCTACTCAAATCCCATTTGTTTTGCAAAGTCTTCCGCTTCCCCAGTTCTGAAGGATTACCTTGCATAACCCAAGCAGAGAGTATCTTAATTATATACGCTGGTTATTCCCTACTTACATGTGACTCATTTTCTTTGCTATCTATTAGAACTCATCATATTGTTCCCTGGTTCTTTGCCCACCACTAGGCCCCATACATCCACTTAAACCACCTCCTTTGAAATGAAACTGGGATGTTTCTATGAAATGAATGTTTACTCCCATGACACCATAATCAATGTCTGAAAGTGAAGAACTTGGCTTTCATATTCAGGATCAACCAGTCAGTTGCTCTTGGTGGCACCAGAAGGCTGGGTGCCTCAGAATCTGAATCAAGAATCTCTTCTTTTTAGGTCATAGGGGACATAGACGAATTGACTTTCATTTTGAGACATGAAGAAAATGAGACTTAGCTTTAAATAACTCACTTGCCCGAGTTCATGTAGTGAGTGACCATCATCGTTAGCTCTTACCTCCTGGGGTCTAATTTACTTAGAGACTTGGCTGTCAGAGTCTGATGGCTCCATGCTTGCACCAGTAGAAGAATGGTCTTAACCCTTTTTTAACCTTGTGTTAAGTGTATTCTTTTTCATTGGAACTAAGTGTCTACTCCTATAATTTTGGAGAGTATTATAATTTTTGGAGTGTTCAGTTTGCTTTCCTAGCTCTGTCTTGCCAAACCCTTACCTATACACTTATTTTAACCAAAAATTTGTTTCAAAGGTTATGCTAAATAAAGGCTTAGCACCTTCATTCATTGTGCTTTTCTACCTAGAGAACCTCGCATCATAATTTCTAAAAATTAAAATTCCTACCGGCCTCCCAAGACTCAGCACTGCCTTCACTGTGAAGATCCTCCTTGACTGGTGATTTTAAAAGCATTTTAAAGCAGAGTTTTCTTTAATCAAACATACTTCGTGGAACCCCAAAATATAGTCAATAATCTGCTATTCTGTATAGCTGGACCTCAACATTCCGAAGACTTCTTGACAACAAAGGAAATCTCTGAGTCTTTGATGGTAGAACTCCCTCCAACTTTTAGACACCTGCAGCACTTGTTCCAAACCCCCTTTGTGGCCCATAATTACCTCATGCTTTGTCTTAAATATCTGTATCACCTTTATTTCTCTTAGAAAGGCAATCTTTTGCATGTAGGGTTTTTATCTAGATGCCTCATGGTTCCTGACACAATGTCTCACGTCGCAGAGATGCCCAGGAAGTACTGTTAAACTAATTCATGTGGCTCCTTTCTGTAGGTTAGAACATGAAATCCAGTTGCTGAAGCAGAAGATATGTGAGGTTGATGTTGTTCATAAATGGCATCCTGGGAGCCTAGGGGGGAAGACTTCTCTCTCTGGCTTGCCACATAGTCCTGAAAAGTCTCAGGATCATTTGGTCCCTCTAATGGATGCCGGGTACTCAATATTCAGTGGCTGCATTTGTAATGTGATTTAACAACTCACTACTCCTTAGAGTAATCAGGTTGCTTGTGATAGATGCTAACAAAGTCAAGAAGCAAAGTGTGTGTCTGAAGTATACTGTATCCTCTTCAGGTACTTCTTGGCTTCTGGTGGGGTACACTGTTATTAGAAGGAATAAAAAATTTGGGAATTGGACAGCCATGTCCAGGGAATGTTGGTGCAAGTTGTTTGCATGGTAAGAGATTTACAAGGTCCAGAGAAATCAGCTTAACCAAGAATAGTGAAAGTTAAGAAGGACAAAGTAGAATTATTCTATACAAAGGTAGAGGAGCTTATGCTGACAGCAAATTGTATATGCCATTGATTATAAAGAGAAGAAATATGGTGTAAAAATTGTGCCAGTTTTAGAGTGAGCATAAATAGCATAGAAAGAAAGCTGAAGTTTGTACAATGACATGTTTTTCTCTTTAGTTGGCATTGTGAGTTTTTCCATAGCTTAAAACTCTCAGATCAATCAGCCTAATCATTATTTGCCTATGAAAAAAATGGTGATTATTTTCTTCACTCTATTTAGGTCAAAGGGGCATTTTAAATTGGGTAGACTTAAATCTATGGATATTAGAAATGTAGACTATCTGGATAGCAAAATGTAGTAAGAATAGCATGAACTCCTGTATCTCTTTAAATCTAGGTCTGTATCTTTCATATTGCTAGTTTAAAATTTAAACAAAGGTCATCTAAATGACATTGTTTAGGCTCACTTGCTTATGGTTTTATTTATTACCTCAGGTACATTCATCAATGCTTTACTTAAAATATTACTTTTTTTACGTATTGTTTTAGAAAGGCATATTTACTTTGCTTGGTAGCACAAAGGTCTCTCCAGGGCTGTGTATATGCTTAGAATTCCTAGAGAATGTGTCCACTTTTCTTTTTTTAAATATTCACCAATGACCTTATGCTACGAGAAATAAGAATTGTCATTTGCTCGAGGAAACCAAGGCTTAGAATGTAGAGTGTCTGGTCTCAGAGTAAGACCTGAAACCATGCAGCTTTGTGATTCCAGTGTCTTTGGTTTCCCTATTCTGCCATGGTGTTTCCACTAAGAACTCTTGAAAAGATTTGGGTGAGATTATTTAGTCTCCTTTTCATTCCCTAGATTCTCTTATCTGTCAGCTTCTTCCTGGTTTGGGGCAAGCCCAGATAGTAACACATGACACTAAGTTTCTTAGGAGAAAAATGTTAATGTTTCCAAAGTGGTGTTAACATTTGGCACTTTTAAAGAGAAAGTTCTCTGTTATGAAGCGTGATAGAGAAAGGAGCTAGGCATGTGAGAAAGGAGCTCGATGTGTTCTTTGTGTTCAGAGTGTTCAGAGAACCGTATCTCTCTCTCCATTGTTTGAAGGATCAATGCCTACATTGAGGAAGAAGTCCAGAGACGGCTTCAGGGTTTGCATCATGTGATTGGCGATGCTGGCAGTACATCTGCAGAGGTGATGAAGGTGAGCTGCAGGAGGAGAGTCACATTGCCATTTCTCCAGATAGCTTTTACAGCTAGTTATTGGTGGTGATGTGAAGGGCTTGTTATTCGTTCTCAGTGAGAAAGCTTAGATGTTCACTGAAATAGAGATTGAATATGAACTGTTCAAAATAATAATTAAATGTTGCTTGGGCACAGTTTAA